AGTTCGAGCCCCACATTGGGGGTAGAGTTTCCTTAGAACAAAAAAAACGTGCCTTGAGAATTTACCCTGCAACTCCAGCCCCCCACCGAGGCAAGGGGTTCTCAGCCTTGGCACTGGTGACATTTTGGGCAGGATTGCTCCTTGCTGTGAAGGGCTGTCCTGCGTGACACACAATGTTTGGCACCACCCGTGGCCTCTATGCACGCCAGGAGCACCTGCCCTAGTTGTGACAAGCAAAAAGTCTCCAAATTGCCACACATCCCTGGGGGAGGGGGGGTTCCTCCGTGGTGAGGACCACTTGGCTGAGAGAGTCAGCTTCAGCTGGAGAAACGCTGTGAGAGATCTGGGGTCTACACCGTTGGAGAAAAGCGAGTGACAGCACACTCATGGCCTGTTTATTGACCCTGCGTAAACCTTTGGTCCAATCGCGCGCATTCTGACTCCAGATCTGGCCCACTTTCCATCATGCTGGCTCCCTGAGATCAATTGTTCCACTGCTCTGCTTGTTAGAAAGTTCTTTCCTATTGAGACCAAATGCGTTTGCCCGGCTCTTACTTCATCTGTGTGTCCTGCAGAGCCACGCCCAAAGCCTAATCCCCCGTCACGGGCTGACATCTCAGCTCTGTGAAAATCACTCATGTGTCCTCTGCCCTATAGATCGGCACTGACCGTGTGCCAGGGGACAGCTGTGGACTCGGGCTTCAAACCTCTAGGCTCTTTCTCAACCTTAGAGCAGGAATTTCCAGGGGCCTAGAGTCTCTGTGTTTCAAAGCTTCCAGGTAATTCTGATGTAGACAGTATTTAGGGATAGTCCAGTATTTACAAACCTTGGACCTAACTCATTCCAGCTCTGGGCAATAGAATTCTGATTTGTTTCTTTAAAAAATTTTTTTTTCATGTTTACCTATTATTATTTTTTTGAGAGAGAGAGACAGAGAAAGAGAGCATGAACAGGAAGGGAGAGAGAGAGAGAGAGAGAGCAGAGAGAGAGAGAGAAGGAATCCTAAACAGGCTCCACACTGTCAGCATGGAGCCTGACACAGGGCTCGATCCCATGAACTGTGAGATCATGACCTGAGCCTAGATCAAGAGTCAGAAACCCAAGAGTCAGAAACTCAACCAACTAAACTGCTCAGGTGCCCCCTGATTTGTTTCTTTTTAAATTTTTTGTTAATGTTTATTTTATTTTTGAGAGAGAGAGACAGAGTGTGAGTGGGGGAGGGGCAGAGAGAGAGAGAGAGAGAGACAGAATGTGAAGCAGGCTTCAGGCTCTGAGCTGTCAGCATGAAGCCTGATGGGGAGCTTGAATCCATGAACCATGAGATCATGACCTGAGCTGAAGTTGGATGCTTAACTGACTGAGCTAGGCAGGCATCCCCTCTCCTGTGATTTTTTTTAAATGTTTTTATTTATTTTTGAGAGAGAGAGACAGCATGAGTGGGGGAAAGGCAGAGAGAGAGGGAGACACAGAATCCAAAGCAGGCTCCAGGCTCTGAGCTGTCAGCACAGAGCCTGATGTGGGCCTCGAACTCACAAACCATGAGATCATGACCAGAGCTGAAGTCAGATGCTCAACCGACTGAGCCACCCAGGTGCCCCTGCAATTTGTTTTTTAAAGCAGTGATGCAGTCGATGGTTTTTGAAAAAAGTATGAAAAAAAACTCTTAAAATAATAGGTTATTCCATACAAGGTCAAAGACGTACCTGTTTCTGTCCAGTTTCATTGTCAGTAAAACAGCTTTTATAAAGTTTATACAAAAAGAGCCTAGAAGTTGATATAAAAATTGTTATATCAGGCTTACTTCTCCAAATAGTGGGATTAAAAGAGATTTTAAAATATTTCTTCTTTGCCCTTTTCGTCATGTTAAAGCTTATCAAACGAGTATCTGTGTGCATACATATATATACATACACGTACATGTATTCACATGTATTCCAATCAGTTTTTAAATGTTACTCACATAATTGTAAAGATGACCACCGTTTTGCTATTTGTCATACACAGGGGTGCTGACTCTTGGTGGAAACAAGTTACAGAAGGGCCGGGCACAGAGACCTGGACCACTCCAGGAATACGAAAGCATTGGAATGACCGATCTGGGCTAGACTCCAGGTCACCTCCCTCGTTTCAGGGAGTGGGGAAGCACACCTAGCGGTCACGGGACCACAGCACATCCAGATGAAGACCTGAGTTAAAGAAAAAGTGATAGCAGGGAAAAGAGTACCAAGCCTGGGTGAAAAAATAAACATAGGCTATTGTGTCCACTCAAGCCAAACCACCGTTCGTTCAGCTCGCGGGCTAAACGTAACCCCTCATAAATTGCGAGTGCTTGTTTGATTCCCATTTGCCCAAGGGTTTGATTTACATGCCCTATATTCTATTTTAAGGGTTTGAGGCTTCCCAAATGAGCACACGATTTTCCTCTTTCCTTTGTAACTGCCCCCTTCTTTTTCAACGCAATAAATTGCAATGGTTTGCATTCTTCTTGGAAGAGTTTTTCCTGGTTTCCCCTGGGGCCCCAACTAAATACCCCAAATGCAATGGTAAGGCATTTAACTCACCTCCCTTCTAGTTAGATGTTCTGTCTTCTCTTGGTAGAGTCCTATGTTGTTTCCGGCTGCTGGAAGCAGGGTCCGGGACAGTTCACTCCTCAGCCACAGACAGGACTTTGGCTAATGAGCACAAAGAAAGTTTGCAGGTCTGTACAAAACCCCACCTACCCAATCCTCACTTCTTTTTAAAGTGAAATACGTCTACATTTCAAACTACATCACAGCAACTGGATACCATAGAGGACAGCCTTTGTTCTGCTGGAAGCATTTTCTGGATCTTTTGAGGGTGATTCCATTTCATGTTGCAAGGAGTGTGCGTGTGTGTGTGTGTGTGTGTGTGTGTGTGTGTGTGTAGCACAGAGGGGGAGAGAGAGAGAGAGATTCAGAGATAGAGATGTGTCTGCGTGCTGGTGGGTCATGCTACCCTAAATAACTTGGGCTTCCACTGGCTGGCTTTTGTTCATAAAATGCTAATCCTTTCAGGTGCACATCTATATAAAACATTGGGGATTAAAGGGTGCACAGAAATCTCAAATCTCTTCTGCTACATAAGGTAATGTTTAAACTAACAGTTTGAAATGATTCTGAGGGTACTAACAAGAAGTCATTTTAAAAACTTCCCAAATCTTTATTAGATAACTAACACACGATATATACCACATGCTACATCTGACTAATAACACTAGGTAGATTCCTGTAGTTATTTTCTAGAATAACTACAATGCACGGTGCGTTACTTTCAGTGCAGAGATGTCTGGGAAAAAATTAAATTCGCATGCGAACTACAATGATGGGGGAGGGAGCCATTTCCTTCCAAAAGGAATAGTACAGCTGTCATTTGGAAATAATTCTCCCTCGCTTGCATGCAAAATGGGGAGATGTCTTAAATTTAATGCACAGAGTCCCATGGTGCTGGGTGAGGGTGGTTTGCGTGGAGTGTTGGATTTATCGCACGACCACGCTCTGGCTTCGGACAAAACGGCTGCTGTTGTACGTGAGACGCTCTGCGTGGCTTACCTCTGTTAATTACCACAGCCTCCAGAAGAGGTAGGTACCCCCATCATGCACAGGGCAGAGCCAAGATTCAGATGCGGGCGCCTCCCCATGGTGCCAGGCTTCCTCCCTGAAGACGCTGTGTGTACTGATAAACAACCGGGCAGTATCTTTTAGGGGTAGGTTGAAAGGAATGAACAAGTAAGCACCCACAAGAGAAAGAACTTCTGCTCTGACGCACAGCCCGGTAGAGCACTGTGGCTGGCGTGGGGAGTTGGGAGAATTGGGGCAAATATTTGGTTATTCGATTGCAGAGCCAAGGAGCATGTTAAATTACTTTCACAGGAATCTCATTTGTCTGAAGCCCTGTGGCACACTGATGCGAGGCACACACAGCCCGTCCCGGGTGTGCGATGCAATGCCATTTGCTTCGGGGGCTGTGCTTTCTTGCATTTTGTCTGCTCACTGGAGTAAGCCGGTGCCCCCAGCTGGGACGACAGGACAGGGTAGCTCGGGTGTGCAGAGAGGAACTCAGGATGGTCAACGCAGATGAGGCAGACCGTTCACGTTTTGTGCAAAGGACTCGAAAGTGTCACTGTGACAGCTGAGTGTTATGAGTGATTTCAGGGCAGAGGGGGCAGGGAAACCCGAGCCGAGCCCGCCTGGTGGGGAAGCCGGTAGATTCTGCTGCACGACGGCCTGGGTTTGACTCTCAGATCTGCCCCTGCTCTCGGGCTGCCTCTCAATCCGGCTGTGCCTGGCCTGCTCGCATCTGAGAAGAGGCATAATAATAGCATCTACTTCACAGAGACTATTGCCAGGACTGGAAGAATCAATGCACTGCACCAGAGCGGGGCTTGGAACCAGTACACGTCCTGCAGTTACTATTTTGATGCCCATCAGTGATCGCAACAGCCCGCTCTCCTTTTCTAAACCTGGTAGTTTTCCTCTCCGGGCTCATCACTTTCACCCTCTTGCTTCTCACCTCGGCCCTAGGAAGCAGGCAGATACTATCATTGCTGATGAGGAAACGGCAGGCAGGGGGGTAGGTGGGCTGCCAAGCGCCCCAGCGGGGAGCCAGGTCAGGCGCCTGGCTCGGGGCCCCCAGCGCTTTCTAGATCTGGCGATAAAGCCTCCGCTAAGGGAGCAGCCCTGGGTTTGGTTCAAATCCTGCCTTCTCATCCGTGATGTCATTGAGCCCTCAACCCACACGGTACCCGTGACGGTACGATGCGCTGCTAGATCAGATTTTCTTCATGAAGATTCGGTTCCAAAAGCTATTAGAGATGTGGTTTAGAACCCAGCCACGTCGTGCCTGTCCGGCTACGCTCGCTCTGTGTTTGCGTTTCTTGATGCACGGAACAGGTGCGGGGTGATGTTTGAACGGTCCCCCTCTCCTTTGCTCTGCGAAACCAGGATGGCAGCGCCTTGGGGCAGCTGCTTTGCCGACGGGGGGAGCTAAAGCTGAAAAGCAGGGGTTCTTTGCGGCTCAGCAGATGCTAAGGCGATAAGCTGCACCTTTTAGAGCCTCTGGGAGGCTCAGCCAGCCTGGGCTGAGCGCGCGGGGGGCCTGTCCGCTTCTCTGGTCTCCAGCAGCTGCGGTCATGGACGCGTGTCTGAGCTCCGAGCAGCGGTCCCAGCACCTGCAGGAAGGACCATGCACCCCGGATGGCTGCTCCGCGCCGGAGGGGGCTCCCCGGGAGGAAGACACCGGTGGCCCTCCAGGAGGTAACCTCCTTCCAGACCGCAGCACCTTCTCAGCTGTCTCCCTGGCCACGGCATTTTCCAGCTAACTTCCGTGACAAGAGTTCCCGTTTCCTATTAACTCTAGATGGTTCCTATAGTGAAGCGTGGTAGAAAAGTGCCTTAACGCGAGCAGAGGCATAGCATTAAAAGCAATCCTTGTTTTTGTTTATTATGCACTTATCAAAGTCCACAAATTTGTTTTGGCGTTTCTGTAAATCTCAAATGGTTATATTTTTTGTTAATAAGAACTTTTATTTATTTATTAATATTTTTAAATGTTTATTTATTTTTGAGACAGAGAGAGACAGAGCATGAGTGAGGGAGGGGCAGAGAGAGAGGGAGACACAGAACCCGAAGCAGGCTCCAGGCTCTGAGCTGTCAGCCCAGAGCCCGACGCAGGGGCTCGAACCCATCAACTGTGAGATCATGACCTGAGCCAAAGTCGGACGCTCCACCGACTGAGCCACCCAGGAGCCCCTAGAACTTTTAAAAAGAAACAAAATCTTGATTCGCTTCGGCTTTTCGCCAGAATGTTCTCCCCGGCAACTGTATCATACGTGGGTTGCATTTCTGCACAGAGGGACTCAGTAGTAATAAATGGTAGACGTAATGATGAATGTCAGAAAAGCCAAGATACAGCATTTCAAACCTTTATAACCATTTAACATGGTAAAATTATGTTCTAGCTCAACTAAATCAAGACTGTTTATTTTTGCTAAACTAGTTTACAGAGAAAGGCATTTGTATCTCTAAATCCTGATCTAACACTCTCAGACTAGCATCGATGCAATAAGTGAAAATGTTTAATGTGCAACAAACACAAAGTATCTTTGTAGGACGTGGAAGGGTCTTATGGGACAATATTTGTATGCTCACGTTACTGTCCAAGGTTGATTGGGAAAACAGGACTTATCAGCTCATTAGCCTATGAACCGGTGAGCCGTTCCCAATCAGCCCATTGACTTTTCCTGCGGTCAGTGAAAAGTAAGTCCCCAGCTGGTGAGACGCAGGAGGAAGGGAAGGAGCCATCTGAGCCACAGTGGCGGAGGGAAGCCTGCAGGAGCTGGCATGAGTCCCTGCTGGTCTGGCTGCTCCGAGTCACCTACTCCAGTGACGAAACCTCAGAGGAAAAAGGAGTTGCCCTGGACTGGCTCCTTGTACCGACTGGCCTGTACCAGCTCCTGAATTTCAGGGATTTTTTTGAGGGTGGTTGTTAAACATGGCCATTACTGAAATGTAAGTTATGAAAACTTACCACTCAATAGAGCAGATAAAAGCCAAGGGTATATTTAAAGGCTAAGGTAATAAATACAACTCATCATGACCTATTTTGTTACATTATAAGATGATCGTTAAGATTATGCACTTGAGGTTATTGGTGTCCATCGCTCTGCGTGGTGGAAATACCCCGCCATGGTCAGCAGGTGCACAGTTTTCCCCAGGGCGTCTGCTGAAGGCTGGAAATGGCCATGGTGGGAGCATCGACACCATGGTAATCATCAGACCCTAAAGTCGGTGCTTCCTCCCCTCACCCCACACCGACTGTTAAGCATTTACCAGCAAACCACGGTCTAGTCCTCTGCCTCTTCATCGTCTCTGCAAAGCCCAGTCAGCCTCCGGTTCCCTGGGAGAAGCTAGGGCCTCTTTGGTCATTCACAGATAACGGGTTGGTGGTGTTAGATGTCAGGAGCTTCCCATAACAAGAGGCGGGTGAAGGCCATAAGTCTCCTTCCCCCACTACCAGGGTGCGGGACAGGAAAGGATGACGTCTCACGACTGACTTGGCCAGTATGTATTAGCAGGTTCTTGCTCGGTGAAGCCCCAGGTCTCTGGAAAGCTCACCTTTAGGTCAGGGCGCAGAATTCTCCCCCGGGGGCTGGAGCCCACGCTCCATCAGAACCGGGGGCCAAGAGCAGTGCTCCCGGAAGGGCTGTGGTCGCCCGTCATGCTAGTCTACAAACCAGTCCCTGTGCTCCGCTGGGCTCTGAGACCATTTCTCAGTCCGCTGCACGCTGACCCTTTTTGGTAAAATACCACAAAAATTAATTGCTAGAAAACCAAAATGAAAACACATGCGAAGACAAAACTCCAGCCCTGTTTTGGGGGGTTTTGTCAGTTTGCTTACAATTGGATTCAACAGGCGTGGTCACACGGTTGTAAACATTTGGAAGAGCTGACTCCAAATGTCTGTGGTCTTCTGTGAGCCTGTTCCAGTGAGCAGACCAGCAGCACAGATCTGCCCCGGTGCACGCGCTAATCAGGGACACCCCAAATCGCTTCCGTCCCCACCTGCCTCGGAGGGTGCGCTCCTCACTGGGTTTCTCCAAAGACCCTTGACCCTTCACCTTGTATTCGCGCCCTGCCCCCATCTCCTCCTCTTTCGCAAGTGCAGATTTCTGATGAGAGCAGCTCAAATGTGAACCGACTGCCCCTGTCAGCTCCTTTCCAAAGCCCATCTTCCACCTGTGGTGACAAATGTCCCAGGCGAGCCTCAGGGAGCAAAGGCAGGTTTCGTGGGGGTCTCCCCCCCGGCTCCTTGCTGCTAACTCCTGCCCACCGCTGGCACCAGCAGCTTCCGTTCTGCTGTGCGTGTGCTTGGCATCCCCACTCCTGACATTTTCGCGCGCTGCTCTTTTTATTCTGGAACTCTGCAAAATCTGCACGACCTGTGCTTCCATGACATCAGCCGCGATCAGGTGCTCTTTTCCGCTCATTTTATGTGATATTCGAGAGCTGCTCATGAGTTTAATGGGTATTTAAAGCAATAGTAACTTAATAGCCAGGGTTCATCTGACAACCACCCCAGGACCGTGGAGCTGGCTCGTCTTCGGGTGACCCGTACCTTTTGCAGAGGAGTCGTAGGAAGGATTTAAGGAACACGCTCCAGCCAACACGCGGGAATGTTACTTCACTTCGAGACCTAAAAATAGTCGGGTCCGTGTTTGCCTAGGTCCTCATGCAGACAGCTCGTCCGTGCCATCCTGCTGGTTGGCTACAGAGGGCCTCAGAACAGAGGGGTGGAGGGGAGCCACGCCTCTCTGTCTTCCGCTCCATGGAGGAGAGGAACCAGGGCATCCTCTGGCATCTCGTCGTGTCACAAACATGTCACGTCTGAACTCGGTGTCCCTATCACCCCAGATCATTCGGGTTTGTGCCAGTTTAAAGCCATGGTCATTGCCAGCATCAACCCCCGTCTGTGGGAAAACTGCCCAATCTGTTCCCGACTTACCAGCTCTGCTTAGTGTGTATTTGTGCTGGATCCACAAATCACGGAACCTATTTTATTTTCTGCCCCACAGGCTCTAACAAGATAGAACCATCCCTTCACAGCCTCCAGCAGTTCGTTCCTACAGACTATGAGAGCTACACTCAGGAGCACTATCTGTTTGCAGGCACGAAGATTGTCATCCAGGAGTCGATAGAGAGCTACGGCGCGGTGGTGTGGCCGGGGGTGAGACAGCTGTCACCTTCGGGATGGCGGGGTTTCTGGGGGCGACAATGACAATCCCATACGTCAGGGTCGCCTGGGACAATGTGCCAAGTGCTTTTGCATTCTGTGCTTCCCCAGTGGAGGGTCGCTTTGGGCCCCCAGGGGCGCGGGGGTGCGCCGGGACTCCGCAAAGGCACAGCATCTCCTGCAGGAGTCATCACTTCCCTCCAAGCCGTGTTTCTTGAAACAGTATTTTCTACATGAAGATACGCTTGAACATGTCAGGAAGATGAAAAATTCATATGAACGTTGAGGGAAAAAACCCAAAACAACCAGAGCCCAGTGCTGGCTTCCCTTCCAGGCCGTGGGTGTTCCAGGGGAAGCATGTGGAGGCCGGGCTCCCTGTCCTTTCTGCAGCAGCCTGCGAGGGCGGCATGGAAATGGGGCAGATGCTGTGCATTTGGAGTCAGGAGCCCCGCTAGTTGCTGCTGTGTGGTTGTGGATGCCCACTTCCCTCCCTGATCTTCCTTCTGCACTGGGCACACTGGGCGGTGTACTGGGCATGCTGGGAGGTGCACTGAAAGTGCTGGAGAGATTGTATGGGGCACACTGGGCGGAGTAAGGGGCACACTGGGCGGTGTACTGGGCATGCTGGGAGGTGCACTGGGCATGCTGGGCGGAGTATGGGGCACACTGGGCAGTGCATTGGGCATGCTGGGAGGTGCACTGG